TTAAAGGTGACCAGTGTAGGACTCTCCCGTAAGTGCAGAGGGAGACTGCTATCTTGAATGTCAGCATGTTGGTTCTCATTCTTATTGGCTCGTTGGTGGTGAATGAATCAGAGTTTTAGATCCAGGAAACTCCAGATGACTTTGACCATAAATGGTTTTGTTTTGGATGGTTTGCATGAGTCTGTGTGAGTCTGTGTGTGTCTGTGTGAGTCTGTGTGAATCTGTGTGTGTCTGTGTGAGTCTGTGTGTGTCTGTGTGAGTCTGTGTGAGTCTGTGTGAGTCTGTGTGTGTATCTGTGTGAGTCTGTGTGAGTCTGTGTGCGTCTGTGTGAGTCTGTGTGAGTCTGTGTGAGTCTGTGTGAGTCTGTGTGAGTCTGTGTGCGTTCTGGCCCTGGATCAAAACAAACCCAAAAGACAACTGCTGTTTCCCTCAAAGACCAAAATGTATACAAGAAAATACATGATGGCTTTTTGAATGCTACACAATTAAAAACAATTAACACACTGGAAGAAACCTGTGAAAAAAAATGAGAAAAACATATATAAGTAAAATACAGCTTAAACAATTGGATAAATGTGGACCCAAGAGAAGAAGAAGAGAAGGAAGACCTCAGACGTCACTTAATGGGAAGCACAAAAACTGCTTTGTGGCCCTCAGCGTTTGTAAATTCCTTCGTTTACAAATTTAGACTCGATAATATTAAATCCATTTGTTTTCACGGACACGTTTAAAGTGTTTAGATTGGACTCTGCAGCAAATTATCCTGGAAATATCATTGTGTCATAAATCTTTGCTTAGTGAAAAGTTTCATATTTGCCAATTGAAAACATTCTTGTCAATCTGTCATGTTTTTTATGTATTTCAGGTTGCTGGTGCCATTTTCTGAAATTTTCTGAATTAAAATACACACAGGTGTTTATTCTTATTGTATTTAAATTGGATTAGTCTTCCATTCATTTTCAGAATAATTTGAGCCACAAAAAAACAAAACAAAAACGTAGTGTTTCAAGTGATTCTGTATGATTTGGTCAAAAATATAGACTTTAATTTATTATATTCTTAAATTCTTTTTGCATTTTCAACAATACTTGTGTTTGTTAGTTTCTTGTTGACTTAGCGCTTACATCTGATTGTGTACATGTTTTCTTGTTTGTGTTGACCCTCGTGCATGTTTCCTGGACATACACTGTACTGAATACACGACTGCATCGACACATTGTTGATGTACAGAGACCATACAAGTCATATGTGCAAGTCAGAGACACTATATCAAACAGCACACAACATCATTTAAGGCTGCATCTGGTTCTGTGATTTTGTTGTTGTTGAATTGAAAAAATATCAATCTTATCTAGGTGAAAGTTCACACCCTGGCAGGGAATTTCACCCTTGGCCCTTGGAAAATTCAGAAAGTATGAACCATGGTAAGATTATTTTAAATATTGATGGACATATTTCAATGTGCACTGCAACATCTAATCTGTGATTGCTCTTTTTGGACGGTGACTTTATAATTATTGAAGAAGCCCTGATGAGACACTTACCAGAGGAGCCAGCAGTGAAGCTCAAAGCCTATGAAGAGATCCTGGATGACCTCTGCTGTACCCTCTGAGGTTAGCCCAGTAATTGAGCAGTAGTTGCTTCCTTCGTTGTTCCAATGGCATCTCTGCCATCTCAACCTGCAAGGCTGCCACTTTAGCTGACCTCATTGCACCACTACATATCCTTAAGGCTTGGCTCTGAACAACATCTAACTTCTTACTGAGAATTAAACACCACACATACATAATCAATCACTGATCTAATAAGCCCAACATAGATCTTCTTAAGGCAGGCCCGGCTTGCTCCTCAATCCCGAACTCTTAAACATCTCATTATATTTAAAACTTTTTTACTTTTCTCTACAATGTTTTGAGTATGCCCCTTCCATGTCACTCTACTGTCAAACCATAATCCTAAATACTTAAACTCATTCACTACCTCCAATCTTTCCCCATATAAATTAATATTAACAACAGCCTTTTTCTTTCTCGTAAAACTCATTACTTTTGTTTGAGAACACGACTCTATTATCTGTATCGCTTCTTGAATCTTCTCCACTATATATTTTACATTCCTTCCTCGCTTCCATATTACTCCATCAACCGCAAACAGTGACCATCCAACAGACCCTTCAAAATCTCATTTCTCATTATGGAAAAGAACACTGGACTCACAATTCTCCCTTGCGGCGTCCCATTGTCATACCTAGAGCTTAGCTCAGAACCTACTCGCACCAAAATCTTTCTCCCTGTTAGAAACTGTTTGACTCATCCAAGCATTTCCCCTCTTATTCCGAGCCACCCGCTCCTCTCTGACAGCAGCTTGTGTGTATGTGTGTAGTGTGTTTTTTCCGCCAGCAGACGGCGCCCTTGTTTACTTTACAGCTGTGATGCCTCAAATCAACTGTCACATTTTTACAAAAGAAAAAATTCAAAAATGTGACGTCACATTGATTTGAAAGCTAAGCAGTACAGGGCCTGGTAATCACTTTGATGGGAGCCTGGTTATGACTTTGGCCTCAGCCACATGCAAACGTGTTTTCTTTGTAAAAGCTGAGGAACTGTCAGTAGTATTCTATAAAAGTATAATAAAATAATATGCATATTGCAAAAAATAAATGCAAAATAATATGTTGTTGATTGTATTGATTTCAACGCCTTTAGCACTAATCTTTGGATTTGTAACCCCTGACCTCCAGACACAGGTAAATCCTATCATGAGAAAGGGTATTTAAGTGTGCCAAGTCTAATGTGTTTCTCCTATTTAAATCTTCTCTGAAGAGTGGCAACTACAGTCTATGGTTGCAACATGGGAGCCTCAAAACAACTCTCAAATGACCTAAAAACAAAGATAGATCAACATCATGGTTTAGGGAAAGGATGGAAAAAGCCATCACCGAGATTAAAGCTTGCAGTTTCAACTGTTTAGAATCAAGTAAGGGAATTGGAAGACCACAGGCACAGTTCTAGTTGCGGCCCCAGTGGTGGCAAACCAAGAAAAATCTCAGATAAGCAGAGGCACAGGATGGTGAGAACAGCTCCAAAGTCCTACATCAGTTTGCTGCGACTGTGCATCTTTCGATTATTCAGTGCACTTTACACAAGGAGCTGCTCGTGTCTCTGCACATGCTGCAAACAGCGCTGCTCGAGGTATGCGAAAGCACATTTGGACAAGCCAGTTTCATTTTGGAATAAGTTGCTGTGGAATGAGTTATTTGAACATAACAAGGGGAGTTGTGCATGAAGCAGCATTTGATAAATGTTCCGTCATGATGTGTGGCTGTGTCCAGGGTGTGCACTGGAAAGATTGTTAAAGATTGATTTTTCTTTTGCGGGGCCTAAATGTATTCACAAACCTTATTTGGTTAAAATTATTCTTGCAAACTTTCTGTGAATGATACAAACTTTATTTCACTTCTCAAATCTGACTGTGTTTGACTCTTATATGATATATTGGGTGACACAGTGGCTGAGTGGTTAGCACTCTCGCTTCTCAGCATGGGTCGGAACAGGGCGTTTCTGAGTGGAGTTTGCATGTTCTCCCGGTGTTTGTGTAGGTTTCCTCTGGCTGCTCCGGTTTCCCCTTCCACTAACATGTACAATAGGTAGTCTACAGTAGTCCTGACCAAGCCTAGCATCAACATCTGGAGATGGGTCCCGGGGCGCTGTTACTACGACGACCACTGCTCCTGACGGAAGCCTTAATGGCATCAGGATGGGTCAAATGCAGAGGATGAATTGCTCTACGGGGATAAAGTGTACCTTTATAATTAACTTAAATGTCTTCTCCAAACAACCAATGATTTATAAAAGAAAATCATAAAATTTGATTGAATGGCCAGAATCTTACAAGAACTTAAATTAATATAGTTCAGACTGCTTTAAACTGACCATCATATCATGAGTCATTAAATAAATGTCTTACTTTTTTCACAAAAATTAACATTGCATAGTAAAACTACACTGATTAAACATTTATTTTTGATTCAGGTCTTTAATGTTTTATATACAAATATAGGATAATGCATAGAAATTGATTAAAAGGAATAAAAATGACAAAACAGGAAAACATTATCCATGAAAATGGCTCAAAACTCGAACCCAATGAATAGGCTGCAACCCCGTGGACATAGTTTCCTTTTTTCTATACATACACTGTAGCATTCTCAATTACAAATGCTTGGCGTATAAAAGATCATATTGACCTCTTATAATGTACAAAAATATCAAATATATTTATGGTATTTGCAAAGATAACACAAATGATCATGTCCCTGAGGCTCTGGTTCTGAAATGGTTCTATTCTGTTTTTCTCATACCTGGACATGTTATAGCTTGGTGTAATCAGGGATGGGAAAGTTGGCACAAACCCAAATGGCTTCATACTTCTCAGAGTAGGAAGACCGCGGCAAAATGAAAAAGCTAAAATCACACCAGAGCCATGTCACTTCTGATGCAGCCAAAACAGAGCAAACTGTAAGTCCAATAAGCAATACAGAAATAGCAAACAGGAAATAAAGTTCTACATTCTTTTTCCAGAGTAGATGACTCTAAGGTCACTTGGTCTAAGCTACATCAAGACACATTAAAGACACCAGGCTACTAAACACCAATATTTACAATACTTAATGGAATCAAGACTTTAACTTCACAATAATGACAAAATTATTCAGACAAAGTTTGCACGCAGCCATGAAAACAATTTATGAAATCAAACACATTCCTTTTTTAGGGGTCAACTTCTCCTTGATGTCATTCATCTCCTGTTGGTGTTTCTTTTTCATTTCCTCCATCAATCTCTTGTCTGCCTCTTTTTCTTTCTTGAACTTGTCCATCTCTTGCTTCTGTTTCTCCTCTAACTCCTTGATTCGTTTATTCTGCTCTTCCTCATGTTCCTTCATGACCTTCTCTGTAAATTCATTCATTTCTTCCATTTGCTTTTGCTCAAGTTTCTTAGTCTTATTTTCCATATTCCTTTCTTTCCGGCTCTAAGTCAGACGTCAGTTGTGTCAGTTGTTCTTTGTGTTGAGCAGACAGATCTGTCTTTCTTTGCTGGAGTTCATCTTCCGTAGTTTCCTGTTCCAGAGTTTTCATCTCTTTTCTTTGTTTGGCCTCCAACTTCTTCAATTCTTCTTCTTGTTTTTGTTCAAACTTGTTCTCTATGTCTGTCTTACATTCGATCATTTCTTTTTCATGTTTTTTCTGGAGATCCCTGATTTTATTGCTGTTTTCTTTCTTTTCCTTTAAAACCACGATGGCCAAATCAATCATCTGATTCTTGTGCTTCTTGAGCTGATCCTCCATTTCACCTTTCAGAGTTGTCTCTTTGTGAGAAGCCAGATTTTCTAATGCTTCATATTCTTTCTTCCCCTCTTGAATCTCCTTTTTAAGGGCATTAACTTCTTGCAAGCTTTTGTCGATCAGAGCTGCAAAGTCCATGTCCTTCTTACGTTTGAAGTCGTTGAACTCTTCCGCCTTCTTGCGAGCTTCTTCCTCAAACGTCGTCCTCAGTTCCTCGACTTGTTTCTCATGTCTTTCCTGCAACCTCTTCCTCTGCTTCTCCTCTTGCTCGAGTCTGTCTTTATCTTCTGCTTCTTTCTTTTTTCTGTACGTTTCCAGTTTGTCTTTGTATTCTTGCTCCAGTTTCTCAAGTCTCTCCTGCTCCTGCTCTCGTCTCTGTTCGTCCTGCTGGCGTCGGTTTTCCCACCACTGTCTTCTCTCCTCTTCCCAGGCTTCTCGTTCCTTTTCCATTTTTTCTTTGTTCTCTTGCATTTTATCCATCTCTAACTCTTGAAGCTTTCGCTCATACTCCTCTCTTGTAGCTTTATCTTTCTCTTTCCTCTGTCTGTCTTCTTCCTCTCTCTTGTTCTGTTCATCTGTTCTTAGAGAACGCTCTCTGTTTATATTATTCTTTAATTGTTTAAGTTGTTTGTCCCTCTCTTGACGTTCTCTCTCACTTTTTTCTGTTCCTCCATTTTCTGTTGGATTTCTTGCATTTCCTGTTTATGTTTCTCTTCCATTTGTTGCATCTCTTTTCTAAGCACTTCTTCTTGTTCCTTTAACAATCTCTGTGTCTCTTTCTGAATGGCGGCCTCAGCTTCCTGGAGCATCTCACTTGTGTAGAAGCCCCCACCGTTCACTTTCACCACATCTTCAATCATCTTGATCAGGTCTCTGACTTGGTAAGTTTTTCTCTCTGTAGGTTTCTCATTATCAAAGACATGACACCTGTTTCCACAATCAGAGATCAGCTTCTTACATAAATCATTACATTTTGATTCAATGAAATTTTCAAGAGAGAGATTTATTTTTTCTAGTGTATCTCCATGCGTGAACAGAACTATGGTGAACTTTGCTGCATCTTTGCCAAATCCTTTCTTGATCAATTCAAGTGTTTCTTTCTCTTCTGGGGTAAATCTTCCAATTTGAAGAACCAGCAGAAAGATGTGTGGTCCTGGTGCCAGGAGGCTGATGCATTTGAGCATCTCCTCATTGACCTCATCATTAGACAAAGTGCTGTCGAACAGGCCAGGAGTGTCCACCACAGTCACACGACGACCGTCCACTTCACCATGTGCCTTCTTACAACGTTTGGTCACAGATTCTTGGCTAAAGTCCGATTCAAACTGTTGTCGTCCCAGAATGGTGTTTCCACAGCTGCTCTTCCCACTACCTGTCTTTCCTATCAACACAATCCTCAGACTCTCTGCATGCTTTGATCCCCCTGCAAAGAAAACAAGATAATGTCTCTTGGGAAATTTTTGTCATTTGAATATGTGTCTTTTAAAATACAACAAAAACAATCTCCTCCAGTACTCTTCATTGTCCTATACAAGCCACCGCAGTCATGTCACAGTTTTATTGATAATTTTACCGAGTTGCTTTCAGTTGTATGCACAGATTTTGATAGTTTAGTTATTACAGGTGATTTTAATATTCATGTGGATAATGTTAATGACAGAAATGCAAAAGAGCTGAGTTCTGTACTTGAATCCTTTGGTCTCACTCAGCACGTGAGTGGCCCCACCCACAGCAGAGGGCACACTCTAGACCTGTTAGTTACTAAGGGGGTGAATATTTCAAATGTAAACGTGGTCAATGTTGCGGTTTCGGATCATTTCTGTGTATTTTTTGACATGTGTTTCACTAACAAACCACCAGTGGACTCTGCAACTGTTCGAAGAAGACACATAAATTAAAATACGAGTGAACTATTTATGGAAATGATAAACTTCGAAAATGCATCGTATTCTACTGTAGATGAACTGTTTAACTCTGTCACCTCTAGTGTTTTGAATGTTCTGGATACCGTTGCCCCTGTGAAGGTTAAAATTGTGAAAAATAAGCAGAAGGCGCCGTGGGCTAAAGCAGACTCGGTCAGAGCACTGAAGAGAAAGTGCCGGAGGGTCGAGCGGAAGTGGCGCAAGTCCAACCTCCAGGTTGATTACAAGATATTCAAGGATAAGTTGTGCGAGTTTAACCGGGTGCTACGTAGTACGAGAGAAAGGTATTTTTCTGAAATGATTGAAGGCTGCAGTAACAACCTGCGTGTTCTGTTTTCAACAGTTAATAGATTAACAAACCCCCCTGTTCAGATGCCATTAGAGCTAACTTCCAAACGTAAATGCAATGAGTTTGCACACTTTTTCAATGACAAGGTTCAAGGCATCAAAAACGCCATTGTCTCCAATCCACAGATAACAATCCAACAGCCAGAAAGGCTCTTTGAGCTAACTCACTTTGCACCTGTAGATGATAAAAATGTCCAAGAGATAATCTCCAGTTTGAGCTCCTCCACATGCAGCCTGGATGTACTACCCACTAGATTTCTGAAGTCTGTTCTGAGCAGTCTGTTACCTTCACTCACACAGATAGTAAACATATCCCTTCATTCTGGAATATTCCCAAAGGCCCTGAAAACGGCAGTCATCAGGCCCCTGCTAAAAAAGAGCAGTCTGGATGCCACTGTACTTAACAACTATCGCCCCATCTCAAATCTACCATTTATGGGGAAAGTCCTTGAAAAAGATGTCTACCTACAGCTTACTAGATTTCTTATAATCAACAACTCATTTGATATGTTTCAGTCCGGCTTTAGACCCCACCACAGCACTGAGACTGCTCTTGTCAAGGTTACAAACGATATCCGGCTGAACACTGACGCAGGCAAAGTCTCAATCTTAATCTTGTTAGATCTAAGTGCTGCCTTTGACACCGTCGGCCATGAGATCCTCTTACAGAGATTAGAGGACTGGGTTGGCGTCGCTGGCACCGCCCTAAGTTGGTTTAGGTCTTACCTTGAAGACAGGAAGTACTTTGTGGAGATTGGAAACTGTGTCTCAGATTATATGGCCCTGACCTGTGGAGTACCACAGGGGTCGATCCTGGGACCTCTTCTGTTCAATCTCTACATGCTGCCGTTAGGTCAGTTAATACGCAGAAACAAAGTGTCCTATCATAACTATGCAGACGACACTCAGATCTATGTCTCACTGACTGCAGGAACACATGGACCAGTGGACTCACTCCTTCTCTGTATCCAACAGATCAGTGAGTGGATGCAAAACAACTTCCTTCAGCTAAACACGGACAAAACTGAAATTATTGTTTTTGGTCCCCAGAAACAAAGAGAGAGCGTCATCTGTCACCTCCAGTCTCTCTCCCTAAAACCTTCAAACAAGGTCAGAAATCTAGGGGTAATACTGGACTCAGACTTAAATTTGAATAGCCACATCAAATCAGTAACATCAGCAGCTTTTTACCATCTAAAAAACATTGCCAGGATCAAAAACATAGTGTCTAAAGCAGACTTGGAGATTCTTATCCATGCATTTGTCTCCAGTAGGTTAGACTACTGCAATGGCCTGCTCACAGGTCTGTCCAAACAGGCTGTAAAACAGCTGCAGTACATTCAAAATGCAGCAGCTCGAGTCCTGACTAGAACCAGGAAGTACGACCATATTAGTCCGGTCCTCAGGTCTCTGCATTGGCTTCCTGTGGCTCAGAGAATAGACTTTAAAACAGCTCTGCTTGTGTACAAATCTCTCCATGGCCTCGCACCAAAATATATTAGTAACATGTTAGTACCATATGAACCAGCCCGGACTCTGAGGAGCACAGGGACTGGACTTCTGTTAGTGCCCAGAGTCAGGGCACTAAACATGGGGAGGCTACTTTTCAGATTCATGCTGCTAAAATCTGGAATAATCTCCCTGAAGATGTGAGACAGGCCTCCTCTCTGACAATGTTTAGCTGTGCATACAACTGAGGGATTTTATATTTTTATCTTTCTTTTTAATGTTTTGTGATTATTTATGATTTTAATGCTTTCTTGTTTTGTTCAGCACTTTGAGTTGCCTTGTGTATGAATTGTGCTATACAAATAAACTTGCCTTGCCTTGCCTTGATAAATCACACCATGTTATTTATACTTAATGCTTTTACTCAAACATACCACACGTTTATCCTTGGTGCAAAAGAGCTCTGTGTTAAAAGAGGTGTATTCTCAAATCGTAAGCAGGAGTTCCATATGTGACCCCTGTGTCGTTAAGGGGTCACATATTGTTTGTTTTCAATTGGAAGCTGTAACATGGAAAAAAAAGTTCCCTCCACCGATTCCTAGTTTCTATTTTAAATGTGGCTGGAAGAGAGTTATCACAGCATTGAAACTCATAAATAGGAATAGAAAACAAACCTGACTCACACCAGATTTATGTGTGCATGACTCAAATCAAGCAAATTATAAAATCACAACCACTCACTACAGAAAAAGATGTGGGTTTTTCAAACTATCAAGTGATCAGTGATAGGTAAAAATAAATCAACGTAAAATGAGTGGAGGATGCCAAGCCAGCATAACCTCCTTTATCATCAAGTCAATTACAATCCTAACACTAGGTGAAGATTTTTGATAGAGAGAAGAGGTTGTTATAAACCCTGTGCTACCCTTGGGTCAAAATAACCCGCCACAGATGATTAAAAGTAGAAGAAAAACACCCTAAATTAGGGTCTAAAGGAATCTAATGAACCCGGGGTTGGTCCCAATTCAGCTGAAACACGTTTTATTTTTCATTGTAGCGGGTCAGATTGACCCAAGGCTAGTACAAGGGTTTATTTATGTGTAGAACTATATCTGGGTGTGCGTTGCCACTTTCTGAATTAGTAGTATTAGTATTGGTTTTCATTAGTTAGACCCGATGAATACTTTTTAATCATCAAGTAGAATTAGTGGTAAGAGTCTCAAGAGAGTGAAATAAAACATACCAGTGACTTGTCTTGTTTCTGTTGGAGCTTCGAGGCTCTGGAGATGTGTGATCTTCTTAATTTGCATCTGCATAAACATTTGTTTTGTGTAACTTCTGCCCTGGGTTAAAGTTTTCACTTTATCTAAAAACCTTGGTACTTCTTGCTGGTCTTTAACATTGAAGATGATATAACGTCCACCACAGCATTGATAGAGCTTCTTCAGGTCCATGTTTGTACTGACAAAGTTAGTAAAAGCTGAAGCTGAAGAATCTGACTCCACAGTGAACAGAATGATGGTGAGATCATCTACATAGGAACCCAGAACATCCTGGAGGATCTTAAACTCAGCTTTGTCTTCATCTGTGAGAGAAGCTACAGGCAGAACCAGGGCAAAGGCATGGACACCGTCAGGGTCACACAGACATATGCTCTCCCAGAACTTCTCCCTCTTTGTTTGGTTCGGTTCACTGCAGAGAGACGGCATCTTCACGACGGACAGCAACCTCCCATTCAGCGCTCTCTGATGTTTGGTGCACTCAGACGATTTGTTCTCGAGAAATGTTCTCTCTCCGATCATGGCATCTGCAACAGAAGTCTTCCCTGCTCCTTCCCTCCCAAACAGAACTATACTAAGTTCTACCTTTTCTTCTGTTTGAACTATATTTAGTTCTGTTTGGGTTGTAATATTTAGTGGTAGTTCTTGAGTGACAGAAACAAATGATTCATTGTTATGTTGGATCAGTGTCTCAATCTTTGTCATTAACTCAGAATGTTTTTCTTCAGACATTTGATAGAATCTTCCTTCACAATCTTTAAGAAGTTTGTTGGTAGCAGCAGTCATCTGACCGTCATGTGTAAAGATAAGAATGGAATGTTTAAATGCTTTTGGACCAAACATTGTGAAGATGGACTCAAGTGTTTCTCTTTCTTTGTCCCTAAAATCATGCGGCTTCACGAGCAGCAGGAGCATGTTTGGTCCTGGACGACACTCTGACACACACTTCTTCATTTCTTCTCTTACTTTTTCCACAGTCATTGTGAATAGGTCGGGGACATTTACTACTCTGAGCTTGTATCCTCTCCATTCACCACACTGTACTTTTGGGTTTCTGATCTGTGTCTTGGCTCCAGTGATAAATGAACTCAAAGAGAAAACTGAACTTGAAGAGATAAATGAACTCAAAGTTTTCTTTTTGTCTTCACTTTTTCCAAACAGAAGGATACGAAGTTCAGAACCTGTGAGAGACAAACAAATGAATCAACTCGCTGCTAGCAAAACTGAAAAAAAAAAATACAAAAAAACTACAAAATGCCCTGTAATAAATATTTATCCTTTACACTAGTTGGTGTAAAGGAGCATTTTAATTTCACTGCAGTTTTTTTGTTGTTGCTTCTTTTGGGCCATCAACTGTGAATATTGTTTGTAAACCAAGGACAATTGTGTCTTACTAGTTTGAACACAGCTTCCTTCTTGTTTGGTTGGGTCCTTTGCAGTTAATCCTGGGGGAAAGCAAAAACATATATACATGCACCCAAATGTACAATAGCATATTCTAATTCCAACACATACCAGTTTTCTGAACATTTTCCAGAATTGTTCCTGGTTCTCCCTGTTCCCTGCTGTGAGGAGGAGCAGAGGGAGATTCGAATGCTTCATGGGTCAACTTCTCGCCTTTGTTATCGTTGACCATCTGACCCAGTCGTGCAAACAGCTCTAAACGTTTAAAGTTCATTAGTTCTTTTTCTTCTGGTGTAAAGTTCTTCACCCACATGTACCGATATCTGCATTTTATGATCGTCGTTACCAAAGGATTGTTTGTGGACATCAAATGTAGATCTTCTTCTCTGTCTGTAGATACTAGCACCATTGAATGAGCAAAAGAGTTTTCATTGAATTTATTTAACACTATCTCGAGTCTCTCTTGTTCTTGTGCAGTGAATACATCAGGTTGAAGGACCAGTAGGAGCACCGGGCTCTGAGGCTTCTGCAAACTCTTCAATCATTTCTGTCAGCTGTGTCTGGTTCAAGTCAGAGTTTAGAAGGTCTCACTGTCTTTAGTTGAGTTTTGTAATATTGTCCTGTTTACTGTTTCCTTTTTAACTAAGATGCTCTCCACGAAGCATCTCTGTCTCCAGTGGTTTCCCAGAAGAACAACTCTCAGCTCAGACACTGAAATAAACACAAATAATATTATGTTTAACTAACACTAACCCTGTTTACAAATACAATGGCCTGAACTAGTATTGATACAACATGAACTTTTGAAAAAATGCTTCATGTCTGTGTGTCTGTGTGTCTGTCTGTGTGTGGATAAATGTATTTTCATTTATCCATCTGCTTTTATTTTACTGTTTTACAACAACCTGCTCAGGGACTACAAGTGTAAATTAGCACTGCTGCTACAATGCATCTCTCCTCTTGGCTAATGTTTATTGTACACTGTCTCTGTAAAAAAAAAAAATCATACCAATTGAACATTAAACTTAAATACACTCACTGTCAGGTGGTAAAAGCTCATAGCTCCAGCTGCGGGTCCGGGGTGACACATCTGCAACTGCAAAAACAGTTATTTCTGTAACATACAGCGATACATTGAGATAAAGTCATGAAAACTCACCTTGTGCTGCCATGGTGTCACAGCTGATATCTAACTGTTGGGAAAGAGAAATATATTAGTTTGTAGTTTTTACAGAAAAAATAAAGTGAAGTAAAAAATATAGTAAAACAAGATTTGGTGTTTTCAAATTCTTTACATACAACGCTGTGTGCTGGATTTTGGCTTTTAGACGAGGTTCCTCTCTGGCTCATACCATATTTTTATTTATAGATTATATATACCATTATATGTTCAGGTGGATTTTTTTTGTGTGGCCGTAAAGTTTAGTATCAAAGGTATAGAATATGGAGTCACATTACTCAAAAATACTCTAATGATTAATGATTTTTGTGTAGATCACTCATGTCATAATACTGGATCAATCCAGTCACACTAATTCTATTCTGTGCAAACTTAAACAATGAAATACAGTGGGGCAAAAAAGTATTTAGTCAGCCACCGATTGTGCAAGTTCTCCCACTTAAAATAATGACAGAGGTCTGTAATTTTCATCATAGGTTCACTTCAACTGTGAGAGACAGAATGTGAAAAAAAAAATCCAGGAATTCACATTGTAGGATTTTTAAAGAATTTATTTGTAAATTATGGTGGAAAATAAGTATTTGATCAATAAAGTCTGAATTTCTACAGTAAAAGTGAATGTTATTTTACACAGTGGTAGAGGGCATCCCAGTGAACAAGTGTGCAGTAAAGGAGTCTGGGAACTTTTAAGGTTGGATAAAAGGGCCCACTCTGTGTTTCTTTTTATCTGGATGGAAGAAAAACGCAAAATTAACATTTGAAGAAATGGCTAGCATCTAAACAGGTTAGCATCGAATGTGTCCTTGAAGCCATAAACTCTGTCAAATCGGATGGACCAAAGATTGGACAGGCTCAATGCTAAATTCGATAACATCGAAATTAAAATGAAAGCTTACGAAACGGCTGCCAAAGAAAATAAAGAAGAAGTAAACAAGCTCAAAGGAGAGGTTCAATCACTGGTTAAAGAAAACAAGGATCTGAAAGAGAAATGTCTGGAAAGTGCCCGATACCGGAGACGGTGGGACCTCCGGCTTATCGGTCTGCCCAAGAAAGAAAATGAGAATGCATGAGAAACGGTGATTGGAATTCTCACAAGAGTGATTCCTGTGTCTGTGGACAAGCTCAGAGAAACTGTGGACACCATATACAGTAAGGACAACGCGGGACGAGATTTGGAGACGGCCTGCCGGTGTGCAGAGAGATGAACATTCGGTTCAAGGAAGACTTTTCCAAAGAAGATCGGGAGGCACGGACGAAGCTGTGGCCAACAGTGGAGGAAGCTCGGCGCAGGGGTCGAAGAGCAGGGGTATGCTATCATAGATGGTAAAAGGGTGGATCCATAAAACTTGTTATGAAAAAAAAAAATGTTCTTTTCTCTTGAAATTGACTTCATCAAAAAACATTTTTTTATTTTGTCAAATGGTATTAATATAGAAAATTGAGTTAAACAAAATATTTTGGGTTCTGCAGTGAGGATTAGAATTGGATCATATAAATGTTATCGGACAAATTGCTCATTCCTGCTTACCATTTTATTCTTATCTAGCGTAGTTCAAACCGGATAAGAACTTTTTTATGTCTGTTCATTTAATGTTCGTTAAATGTTATTGTTAAACGTAAGGCATTATTACTATTAAAGATGATAAGTTTTGGAAGCAACAATGGGGAGATCATATTTTCTATTCACATGATACTTCTCACTCAGCAGGGGTGATGATTTTATTTAACAAGTTTAATGGAACAATTATTGATAATCAAAGTGATGAGGACGACCATTGTTCAATGGTTGTTGTAGAGATGCTTGTTTCCAAATGTATCTTAGTTAATATATATGGATACAATAACAGAGCTCTTAACAGGAATATGCTAACAAAGGTAACTCTGTGTATGGGAGAATGGAGGATAACACATGGTACTCACAACTTAATTCTGGGTGGTGATTTCAACATCGCCCCTGATTCTTGGATTGACAGAAAACCTCCTAAAGGACCACAACCAATATATAATTGTATTATAGAAAACTTTTTTTTACAATAATTTGATTGACTGCTGGAGAATAGCAAACCCAGATTCAATGACATGTACTTGAGTAAGCCCAGCAGACCCTAATATACTGAATGTTCACGGCTAGATGGCTGGCTCGTGTCCCAAACGTTAGTGAATACAATCATTAACTGTGATATTCAAACATCCCCTCTTACAGATCATATATATCATTATATATATATATATATATATATATATATATATATATATATTAGGGCTGTCCAAAAATAGCGCGTTATTAACGCGTTAACGCAAATCAATATTAACGCCGTCATTTTTTTAATCGCGCGATAAAAAAAAAAAAAATTTTTTTTTTTTTTTTTTTTTTTTTACTTTTTATTGCAGACAAACACATAGAAACAAAGAAAAGGACTAGTTCAGATACATTGTAGACAGAGATTACAAACAATATGTAGTTGGAGATACAGGGGGCCAAAGAAGAAACCCAGAAGGGCACATAGGAGGGGAGGGGGGGGGGGGGACATGAAGTGGGAGATGGGGGGAGGGGTTAATAAAAAAGGCAATACAAGCAAACAGTATACAGTCATAGATATACCGAAGGTAAACAGAGAAACAGCATAGAGTATTTACATGAACAAATTTACAAAATATTTACAGATTGTTTATCATCATCATAATGACACCATGATGTTTCTATACAGTCTATGGTCTATACCAGGGGTGGCCAACCAGTCAGAGACTAAGAGCCAATTTTTTTTACTGTGTTACAGCAAAGAGCCACATCATACAAATGTGCACTACATAAACATCACCCCAACCCTTACACACGCACGCACACGCGCACGTACTGTACGCACACGAGCAGACACGCGCACACACATGCAATCTGTCTGTGCAGAGAGAGGTGTGCTCTGCTCAGACAGATTTATTGTAAATGTCATCAACATGATAATGACAGAAATTGACTCGTACAGTACTAAAGGGCTGGACTCGACTCTCCCCGGTTTGCGGGCGCTTCCACCGCTCGCTTCAACCGCTCCCCGGTACTTTTTATTTATGGTTTGGCCCTGGTTCTAACCGGGCGAGTCGATACCAGAACAATTTCACGTCAGCGAACATCAATTATGATTCCGAAATGAATGCTTTCAATCTCTAACCAAGAAAAAAAAATCAAGTTTCAACCCAGTGTTCAGCAGAAACACAACTGTCTTTAGTAAAAGATATAGATTTGACACATAACACCAACACCACTTTAGCTGATTTAGAACCACAGACACATGCTCAGTATAAGACCAGATACTTTTGAATTTGATTGAAGACAGACACTCACCAGGCAGAGTTGGCTTATCTCCTGGTGTAATGCTAGCTGGTGTTAGCTGGTTTTAGCATGTTAGCCGGTGTTAGCCGATGTCCGTAAATGTAATCCATTTGGTCAAACCACCTCCAGACTTTTCGGGTCTGCCTCTACTTCTGCTGCTGCGATCTTTCATTTCACGGTTGTCACTTTTAAGCTTTTTAACTTTTCTCTGCATTGTCATGTTTGTGGGAATCATTCTGCTCCGTCCTTAGTGCTAGCTCCACAAACACCTTCTGGTTTCTGGTGGAACCAGCGAGATCAGGCTGGTGTCCTCTCCTCAAACTGAGGAAGGTGTTGCCCTCATCCAGCGACCAAGGAATTCTTTTCCGTACGGACGTCATGGTTCGAGGCAACGTGTTGTTTGTTATGATATTTGCTACAGCTGAGGTAGCAGCTGCAGAGTGATTGACAGCGCATCTGACCAACCAGAATTGACGTTCGCCGACGTCAGATTGTTTTGGTGGCCTGGCTAGTGGAGTGAAGTCGGCCTTTACTATTGGTCAGAACTATATATGGAATGAAAGGCAGCGCCACCACCGAGGCGTTTTTGACGCTTGTCGAGTGAAAGCCCGAGAGCCGCACGGAACCAGCCAAAGAGCCGCATGCGGCTCACGAGCCGCGGGTTGGCCACCCCTGGTCTATACCCACACATACACACACACACCCACACACACACATTGAAGGGGCTTTTTGTTACCAATTATTTATTTTGTCATCCATTTATTGATGATTTTGCATCAAATGTTAGTGTGTAATATAACACTACACATTGTTTTCAATAAAAAAAGCAATTGCACACAGCACGCAAATGTGTGACTAATTTGCGATTAATCGCGAGTTAACTATGAAATTCATGCGATTAATCGCGATTAAATATTTTAATCGTTGGACAGCACTAATATATATATATATATATATATATATATATATATATATATATATATATATATATATATAATAATAACTATAAAATGCAATAATTAAAGAAGCTATACCCGATTTTTTTTCTAAGTAGTTCATAAAAATGCTTTTTACTACATACAAGTTGTATCATAATACATCATTTAATTGAAAACTTGAGGTCATTGATTCAGCTGTGTATGAAATTCAGGAAGTGTGAAAAGTCCTGAGTAGAGAGTATATATATATATATATATATATATATATATATATATATATATATATATATATATATATATGTGTGTGTGTGTGTGTGTATAATAAGCAACGAAAAAAAACAAAATGGTCATTTTTGTATATTGCTGTGTGCCTGAAAATGCAAAATAGAATTTTTTCGATTATCCATTTCCCCTCAAAAATAGAAAATGTATTGAACGCAAAAGTACACGGACCATGATGTTTGTTGTTGTAACTTGTTTTACTAAACGTATGCCTTACTGAATGTATGTTGTTTTTTGTTTGCTTTATTTTTTTATGTTTTGCTTTATAATACTCTGAACAAAATTGTTGTCTCCTAACGACAGTTCTGTATGTGTGTATGTATATTGTTACAACAATAAAAATAAAAATAAAAAGGAAAAGCGAGGCCACTTTACCGCGGTCTGTCGAGCCGATTACGGTCTCTGAAGTCAGACTGCCCCCAACACGTGACCCAAAAGAACAAGGCACTAGTTACAACAGACTGATAAAATATGTGCAACATCTGACTGCCACGTCAAAGGTCTCCCAGATATTTGTAAGACTGTACCACTTCGATGTCCTGTCCGTTTATTGTGACCGGTCGATGGGAAGGGTGTGAAAGTCAATTATCATCTTGGTCTTGGACGCATTGAGAATCAGACCATTTCTCTCGCTCCAGAGAATGTGAATTATTATTATAGATCCATGGTGAATCACATTAGGGGCGGGGAAAACACTCAACTGTACAGGAAGAAGAACTCAAAAAGGCAAGACAACCATGAAGACAACATGATTTAACAAAATAAATAAATTCAAAATAATGACAGTCCTCGCATGACATGTTCATATTTACTAAATTATAGCTCGTTGTACAGCTGAGTTGGAGTCTATCTGAAACATTCTTGACTAAAGTTATTTAAGTATACATGAATCGCATAACCATTTTGCCTTTGTGCATTTGTGAAACATTTGCTCTGTGATTCTCTTTGGAACTAAAGGTGCTGCTCTATTCTGTATCTTTTGAAGTTTTTAAAATCTGCACAGCATGCACATTTGACCAAACAGTGGAACAATAATCCCAAATTATACAACAGTGATCTCATCTGCTTATGTGCGTCTTGCTTTTGAGATAGTTGAGACACACCCAAATGATTTATCTATAGCCTTCAGTATTCTGTATTCAGTATTCAGCCTTCTTAGTTTTTAACTCGACACAGGCATAGTGTAATTGTATGTATATGACTTAAATTACCTTAGTTGAAACGAAAGCGAGTATTTGCCATCGGTATACCTCAGATGATCGCTATCTCAAATAATCTGCGAACGAGCGTCAGTAAAAGCGAAAGTAACGCTGCAACTTCCTTATATTTCATGATAACCACAAGAGGGCGCCAAACATGCACACATGAGAAACCTTACAGCGCAGCAAGCTTTGAGCTCGTTCATTATTACCAACATTCTTAATCCATCTAAACAGCTCGTTTAGCCCAGTAGAAAGATTAAAGAATAATGCCTATCTGCGAAGAAACCACACAGTGCACGTTACCATGGAAACCACCGTGTTGATTGATGCAGTAGACAAACAACAGACATAACTACGTTCTATCAACTCTAGAACTCCCAGAGAGATCTGACGGCTACTTTGATATCCTGGAGGCCAATCCATCATTATACGCATATACTACTATACTATAGTCATAATAATATTACTTAAACATATTTATTAATAAGGGGCGGGACGAGGTAACTTGATTGACGTCCAGTGGTTGCCATGGTCAACATTAGAAATGGGCGTGGTTTAACTCCAAGTGGACCAACCCGCTGACAGATATAAACCTAGAGAGAGCGTGTTCTGTTGCCGTTGTCATTGCGGCGGCCATCTTGCATATTCATTTATTATTCTAATAAAAGAGAGAAAAAATTAGTGATGTTAAAGAAGCTATACCCGATTTTTTTTCTAAGTAGTTCATGAAAATGTGTATTACTACATACAAGTTGTATTATACACCATAATTTAATTGAAAACTTGAGGTCATTGATTCAGCGATGTATGAGTTACAGCCGTGAAAAGTGCTGAGTAGAGTCTTAGCGGGACGCTCATTCTCCTCCACTCACAGAACAAGCCTCTACAGTGCTGCTTAACACTTCTTGCCATTTTCATTTGATCTTGGAAACTCAGAGGTTCCGACTTCCCTCTTGGAAAAATGGGAATGATACGCACTCAACTCAGAATCTCGGGCTTAAATTCAAGATAAAGATCAATTTAAAATGTATCTTTGGCTGTGAATGTATTAATTTCGCCACAAGACCTGTGCCTTTCTAATGAATGAGCAAAGAGAATCCAGTTAAATTTCTTCACATTTTTGTATTGTGTGCGTTTGTGTGTGCGTGTATCGGTCCATACCAACATGGCGACTGGGACCAGAATATGTTGCCATGACACCGCTCTCTCTAGTCTCTAACACACGCTCGCGGACCTGACTTCACTGCAGATCTGAGAGCAGGGAGTCAGCGTGCAGCGGAGCAAAGCCACACCGAGGGAGAGGCTCTGGAGACGGGCAAGGATGTGTCTGAGCGAGCAGTGATCAACCTCCCGTGGCTTCAACCGACCCTCGCGATGTCTGGCGGGGGAGAGACCCGTGTCCTCCGCCCGGACCAGGAGCCAGGCAGCGGCCAAGAGAGCCCCAGGATGCCTGCGTGGAAGCGAGAGATCCTGGAGCGAAGGAGGGCAAAGGGTGGTAGTGGTGGAGCCGGTGGAGGAGATCTGAGTCCTGGTACAGTGCGATACAACGGGAGCGCGGCTGCGGCTGTCAATGGATCCAAGCAAGACTGCCCTTCCACGGCTTCTGCTTTTGCCGCCGCTGGTGCGTGTGGTAACGGGAGAAATTACACCATCACCACGGCCAGCCAGCACTTCGCCAGCAACAAAGAAACAGCGCGACATGATGTGGAGAGGGCCACGTCGAAGGAGGCGGATGGGGAGGAAAGCCTGGTGCTGCAGGTAAAAGCAATATGTGATGTCAAGACCCCTGTAGAGAAGATGGGGTCATAGACAAATGCGGGCACCCACCCTACATACATGCAGGGTGGGTGGGTTGTACATTTTACTATACAAGAGAGAGACTGGCTTCACAACAGCAGTCCCCAGGGGCCCGTCTGGCTCCTGTGTGGCTGAAATGCTTGCAAAAATGTAGCCTTAGTTACCATCATTTATCTCTACACACTACAAATCCAACTCAATGTATTGGTAGCATGCTGCTGCTGTGATGAAGCTGTGAACGTGGGTGAATAATAATAAGAGTCTTCTCAGCGTCATCATGTTGACTAATGTGTCATGGAATAGGTTTAGTGTCTCTGTTGATTTTGCATTTGTTTACATATGAGTCAGGGTTCAATTCAATTTATTTTGTCTAGCCCTAAATCACAACTGTAGTCATCTTGGAGGACTTTACACAATTCGAAAATTCTTGTATCTTGTGGATTTGCCAACAACAGATCACAGAATTAACCAGTTGGAACACAGGAAATGCGATAATGACAAAAACAGGACTGAGGCTGTAGACCCAGGACTGAGGCTGTAGACCCAGGACTGAGGCTGTAGACCCAGGAGTGAGGCTGTAGACCCAGGACTGAGGCTGTAGACCCAGGACTGCGGCTGTAGACCCAGGAGTGAGGCTGTAGACCCAGGACTGAGGCTGTAGACCCAGGACTGAGGCTGTAGACCCAGGACTGAGGCTGTAGACCCAGGAGTGAGGCTGTAGACCCAGGACTGAGGCTGTGTGATGCAGGACAATGAACATCCATAATGATTAAAGAAAAAGGATAGAGAAGAGATATAGTGCTTTTACCAAACTTCACCCATGTGCAGCTGGACTGACAATCTGTGTTTTCTGACTTATGCTTGTACTTCTTGGTCAGGGTTGTGTTATATCACAGGAATTTCAATATTGTGAGTTAGATTAGATATAATATTCATTTTTCTGGCCACAACAGTGGAAAGAAATGATAGTGATTGTGTTTCCTTTTTAGAATAAAGTTCAAGTCAAATCTCAAAGTTTTTGCATTGGTGTCAATAGTTAATGGTGAGTGGTTAGTACTCAGCTTATCCTGAAAATATGTATAAAACAAGGGGAATTTGTGTTTTGTTGGGTGAAATGTAGACAAGGGATCTTTCTTATTTTGTTTTATTATTATTTTGTTTTTACAATGTATTAAAACAAAACTCAAAACAGGAGACCAGTGAGAGACCAGTGAGAGACCAGTGAGAGACCAGTGAGAGACCAGTGAGAGACCAGTGAGAGACCAGTGAGAGACCAGTGAGAGACCAGAGCAACCCCTGCTCGCCAAATCATGATTACTCAGCCGTTATCACAAGTCTCTTTGTGTTGAACCTGATTATTATCCTTTCATTTATTGTAATTAAATGCTGTTTTGTAGGAGAGCCTTGGCCCTCTGGAGGAAAACCCCTTCATTAAACTGGAGAAGGAGAGGAGGAGACGGCAGGATCGGGAGAACGCAGCGCGGCCTGTCCAGCACATACTGGAGCTCTACGGCAGCGTTCCAGGCATCCGGACCATCAGAGCCGAAAACATCATCATCATCGAATCCGACCCGGAGTATTTTCCAGAGGGAGGGGGCGTAGACAGCGGCTCCAAATGGCAGCAGAACGGCGTCAGCGCATACAGCTCTCTGAATGACCTTTTGGACCAGCGTGGGAGTGCCGTGACTGAGATAAGAGCCAAGGAAGTGGTGATTTACGACACCACGTTGAGCAAGAGCGAGGAAAACCTGAGCACGTTGGGCCGGCCCGATCTCGAACCGCACGAGGAGAGCCAGGGCAGAGTCAGCCGGATGTTGCAGAAATTTGACAGCAACTACGGAAAGCTGCAAAAGAAATCGCACAGCACGGAGAACCTGCTCGACTTGGATTGTAGTAGTAGTGCCAGCAGCCGGCCCAGATCTTGGTCCAAGCCAGAGGTGGTGCCAAAGCAACGGTTTGAACCAACGTTTCCGCTTTTTAATGCATCCAAATTACCAAAGGCAGAACCGGAGAGCCCCCAGCAAACTCCCAACCACTCGGTGCTTTCGTTTCGCCAACGCTTACAAGATGGAAGTCCGAGCAAGGATGAAATGGATGGGCGACCGCCGGCAAAGTCCGCGAGAGAGCGAGAGTGGGACAGCGGTAGTCCAGACCCCAAACCCAAGGTGCCATGTTCTCCGGAGATACGCCATTCCCGTGCAGAGTCCAGCCCGTCCAAAATGCTCCGCACCACTCCGGACTTCGAGATTCGGCCGTCGCCTAAACCTGATCTCTCTGGAATTCCGGACAATGATACGCAAGCTAGGGCCTTGGCCAATTTGCGCCTCCAGTCCAAGAATTCCTTCACTGTTATTCCCAAGCGAAGACTTGAGACAATGGGCTCGCCTGCTGCTAGTCCGCTCCCATCTGGTCCAGCTAAATTGTCCCCGATACAGAGAGTAGCAACGGGAAGTGCTACAGGTGTGCCAACATCCCCTACGTCCACAACCACAACAAATGACTTTACGAAAGCCACACCAATTAAAAGTCCGCCCAACAAAACATCACCCAGCCCTGTTAAAAACGAAACGTCTATAGCCATGCAAAAATCGCCATCTTCGCCAACCAAACCAGTCGCAAAACCAGTCACAATTCCTGCCGCCTATCCCCAAACATCCACTCCAATACGGGATAAAGAAAAGCAGGAATCGCCAACCGGAAGTCCAACCAGTCCGCCTCCTCTCGCTTCTTCTCCAGTTTTGATTTCGCCTCCAAGTTCTCCACGGGTCCCAGTTTCTCCCAGCGAAGCAACACCCACGTCCGACCATCTCCCCATCACGAACATTGACGATATCGAGGTGGAAACTCCGGAGAAAGCCCCAGCTCCGAGTCCGCTGGTGCACAGGCGGAAGGGGAACACGTTTACGGTAGTTCCCAAACGGAGAGCGGAGACCGAGCCGTCGTCCGCCTCTCCGGAGCCCCAGGCCGAAGCTCCGGTCGAGGCTTCACCGGGCTCCACGCCGCCCCAGGCCCCATACTCTCAGCTGGGCACACTACTGAAGAAGCGCTACCCAGCTGTGGAGGAAATCGAGGTGATCGGGGGTTACCAGGCGCTCGCCAAGTCCTGCCTGATCAAGACGCCGTCTACAGGGAAGAAGGTAAGGCTATATAAGATGTCACATTCTTGAAACAATCATAATTATTTACTAAAATGTAATATGTAGTAATGTGCCTAATTCATGATGCTGGTCACTGATTGTGGTAAGGCCTACACCCTCAGTTTAACTGATTGTATGATAGATCCTTGTTTTAGGGTAATTGCTTTTGTCATGAGTGTAATGTCAGAGATTGTGAAAACATTTATTTTGTAATAGTTTTTGTCTATTTTAGAGCAGTTTATTGGCTTGGCACAGTAATTACTATTGCTTACAGTGCAATAAATACTGGCTTGAGCAATATTCAAACCTGGGCTCTTATTGTCAATAGACATTTTTTGCTGATTTTCTTTGTGAGTGTTGAATAAGAAATAGTGTTAGATTTTTTCTATGAAGCATGAATGTTATTGTATTTGCATTTCAGTCAATAACAATTCAGTTTACAAATTTCAAAATGAAATATTTCCCTTCATGATATTCAATATGTTATTTTTGAGCCCTCAAATTCAATGCACTGTAAAATTTGATGAAAAATCTGACCTAAGATCAAGATGTTCTTAAGGACAGAAGAACAATAAACTACTTGTACTTGCCTTAGCAACACGTCTTTCCATGTTACAACGCAAAGCTAGCTTATGTTCAAATCGGCATCTTCCGATTCTCTCTGGAATCAGCTGCTGATGCTGCAAACTGATGGCAGGTTAAACAATTGAAAAGATTTAGAACCAAAAGTGAGTTTTATCTGTGACCTTTGATAAGTCCGTCATGTATGTCGAAGCTTACATACCGAACATTCCTTTGGCTTAACATTATATTTCTCAGTTTTTTGAGCTAATCTGTTAAGACCTGAATTGAGAGCGTGAACGTAGAGCGTGGAGTGCGTAGCTGCCAGATACTTTTCTCGAACCAAATCGTTGCTCCAGAAAACAGGAGGGGGTTACAGTGTGACATGGGGGCGGCCTTTCCACAGAGCTGGCCTCACCTGCGAGTGTGACCTGCTCGTCCATATTTAGGGATACTTTTAAAGCCTATACATTTGTTGCTGTACAGTCCAAAAACAATTACAGCAGGTTTCCTCCAGGCGCTCCGGTACTGTGAGAAAAGTTGATGGTCGTCAGAGGGTGCAGCAGTCTTTCAGTCAGTCCCAGGGCAAATGTGGCTACAGTGATGGCTTAGCCTTTATTTGTGTTTCATAAATTAATCCCTCTCTCATTAAGGGTCTCCTCAAGGTTTCTCACTTTGGGTTTTTTGAGTGGTCCTTGCCGATGCAGGAGGGTCCAAGTACACAGTGATGATCCAGGACATTTCTTAACATTTCCCTATGGACCAGTGGCTTCTATGTGGTTGTTTTCATTGCATTTCCTGTGTTTGAACAGTTTTATTTTCTTATCTGTCCACAACTTTGAAGAGTGTTCCAAGATGACTGCTGTTGCGGTTTAGGGCCGTACACACATACACTGATTTGAATTGAATTTTTCTATGAAGCAGGCAGGTGAAAAGTGCAACTCCTTCTGCAAACTCCTTGTTTATGGCTGGGTTTGTCCGATGCCCCTCCTCTGCTTCCTGCTGTATAATTTCTTCTATTCTGTTCAAGGAGAGATACAGACATGTTGTAGTCCCTGAGCAGGTGATGTCACAGTAAAACAGAAGTAGATACATGACCATGCATTATGTACATTATCAGACAGAGGTTACAATTTAATTTTAGATACAAATTATTATATAGCTACCCCAGGACCCCTTCTTAACTTTCTCTCCAAACAAACATTCATAATAAGCTCACACACTCTGGTCTCTCTCTGGTTTCTCTTTCTGGTCTCTCTTTGGTCTCTCTCTCTCTGGTCTCTCTTTAATCTCTGGTCTATCTCTCTGGTCTCTATTTTGTCTCTCTCTCTGGTCATCACACATGGGTACAGATATGTCTTTCCAATAGCCGAGACAACACAAACCATACACAAGAAACTGAGCCTTGTTTCCACAGCGACCATAAACACATTTTCAGCAAAAAGATGTAAGTGTGGGTTCGCTGCAGCATCGTGGGCTTTCATTACAGACCGTAGTATTTCAGGAGTGAACTAAATCACAATGTTAGTTTTGACCTAGTTTTTAACTTGGCAACAGCTTTAGAATAACCTGCAGTATTTTCCAGATTAATCACTTTGTGTAGAGAGAGGTTACATGATTGGTTATACAAGTTGTCAAGTAGTGTGAGAGCGAGAGGCCAGAGAGGCCAGACAGCGAGAGGCCAGAGAGGCGGCCAGAGAGGCGGCCAGAGAGGCGGCCAGAGAGGCGGCCAGAGAGGCGGCCAGAGAGGCGGCCAGAGAGGCGGCCAGAGAGGCGGCCAGAGAGGAGGCCAGAGAGGAGGCCAGAGAGGAGGCCAGAGAGGAGGCCAGAGAGGAGGCCAGGAGAGGAGCCAGAGGGAGCCAGAGAGGAGGCCAGAGAGAGGAGGCCAGAGAGGAGGCCAGAGAGGAGGCCAGAGAGGAGGCCAGAGAGGAGGCCAGAGAGGAGGCCAGAGAGGAGGCCAGAGAGGAGGCCAGAGAGGAGGCCAGAGAGGAGGCCAGAGAGGAGGCCAGAGAGGAGGCCAGAGAGGAGGCCAGAGAGGAGGCCAGAGAGGAGGCCAGAGAGGAGGCCAGAGAGGAGGCCAGATATTGAAGTATTGTCCCTCTTGTGACTTGTGTGTCGTTTTATAACCTTCTTATCCTGACCCACAACAGTTTGGTTTCATTGCTGTCGAAATTACCGCAATATTTGAACACAAAAAAAGACTAGGTTGTAAGGCGGGTTCAAATCTGAGTAGATCAGAAACACCAGCCCGTGTTGTTCAGTGTGAAAGGAAAGGGTAGAGCGAACAAGCCTATAAACTGTTAGCAGTGGGACATGGGCCATGTCAAATTGATAAATATCAAATTTTCAGCTGAGACTGGAAATGCTAAGGCCTAGCGAAGTCTGCACCCCATTTTTGTGATGAAACCTTTGCTGCAGTCTAGTTATTCTTCCAAAGACTTCATATTTGGCTTGAGCAAACCTGGAGCTGCCCTGACAATGCGGTTGCCTCAGCTTTGTCCGATCTGGCATATTTATAGCCTTCCCAAAACGGGCCTTGTAAATCCCAGAATACCAGGAGGAGCAGACCATTATGTCGCCAGAGAAAGCAGAGCCAAAGCTCAGTGTGTGGACCAGAGCTGCTTAATCGGAGCGCGTACATGACATGACCCGGCCCGCGCGTAAGTGGATTATAGAACCCGTGTTTACATAGCCGCATGCAAGACCGCGGTGCGCCTTGGGCCTGGGCAGACCCGCCGCGGGGGATCTTCTATTGGGTTACGTTCATCCAAGCCGCTTGACCCAGCAATCCCATCAAGCCTGTATAAAGATGTGTGGACTGGACCGAAGATTCTCTCGAACTCTGTGACCCTGTTTGCAAAAGCAGAGCTGATGGAGGAATGTTTGGAGAAACTTTGATAATATTGTTGCCTGGTGGAATTTGCGCACAAACTCATGGAATCTCTGCGCCACACACAATAAACTGATCAAGGCCCTGACCAAAATATAATACATTCTGATGATAAAGGAAAACTATTGACAGGGCACCGAATGAGTTACTTTCACTCTGGTCTCTTTCTCTCTGGTCTTTCACTCTGGTCTCTTTTGCGCTGGTCTCTTTCTGCACAATGCTAACCTGCTAGCTCAACGAAGCTCAAATGGGAACTTCTCAATCCGCTCTGGCCTCTATGGTCTCTCTATGGTCTCTTTCTCTGGTTTCTCTCTTTGGATTCGCTCTCTGGTCTCTCTCTCTCTTCTCTTTCTTTCTCTGGTCCCGTTCTTGTCTCTCTTTGGTCTCTTCTGGTCTCTCCCTCCCTTTCTAGATTCTCTCCCTGGTCACTCTTTCTCTTTCTGGACAATGCTAACCCGCGAGCTCAACGAAGCCCCATAGGAAAGTGCTCCATCCTGCTCTGGCTCCTATTGACTTGCATTACATTTTTCAGGGGTCAAGAGCTAGACGCATGGGCAGTTTCTGTTTCCATTTTCCTACTAACATTGATGAAAGAATTAACCGTTGGATGCTACGAGACGATTCACCAGTGCCTTGTCTTCCTGTCTTTTCAGTTCAAAGTGTTTGGATCAAGTTATCAGTGACGCATAGAAATAGTTTTGAGATTCGCTAATGTCTTTTTGAACACTGTAAGCTCATTCCCACTGCGCAAAAACACAACATTTTCAACCATAATCCCTGGGTCTCGTCTTCCTTACACTGACTCTTTGCATTTAACTAGATGTGCAACCTAGTGCTTTTTCCTAGTGCGTGTTGAGACAATTAAAATGTTATGTACCCTAGCTTTAAAATGCTGTTTAACATGCAGCATAGATTGGCTTTATTCACTTACATCACATGCTCTGTTTCGCCAATGGACGTGCGTGGTCCCGCTTCATAATCTCTTGTTGTTTCCGTTTACTCTGCATTAGGGATTAATTAGGTATGTGACAAGCCTGTAATTGCTGCGTGTTATGCTGGGGGGGTGCACAGTCCGTTGAGACGCTTTCATCTGCAACTCTTTAGCATCAACAACCTTCAAACGTGACCCGTTAAGAGGAGAAAACGAAAGTGTTTTCTCGTACAATAACATCATTTCTGCGGATTAATGAGGTTATGCCTGAAGAAGGATCTGTTTATGAAGCACAGTCGTGTCAAGTTGAAGTATTTTACAAAACACAAATAAAAAGCACCACAAACCCAGTAGTAAACAGTAAAATGGGCTATAAATATTACTTTCATACAGGACTTTAAAGCTGCTCTGCTTGTGTTCAAGTCTCTCCAAGGCCTCGCACCAAATTACATCTGTGTCATGTTAGTGCACCAACCATATGAACCAACTGGGACTCTGAGGAGCACAGGGACTGGCCTCCTGCTGGTGCCCATGGTCGGGATTAGACATGGGGATGCAGCCTTTCAGATGAATGCCGCTAAAATCTGGAACAGTCTGCCTGAAAATGTGAGAAGGCTT